AATAAAAATTGCCGATTTTGGGCTTTCTGGACGATTTTACATGTATAAAGAATCCAATATATCAAATAATCTTTTGAGAAATATACCATATGTGGATCCAAAATGTCTTCAATCTAAATATTTATATGAAATTAACAAAAAATCAAATATATATAGTTTAGGAGTAATTATGTGGGTGATTTCTAGTGGTCGGTCTCCATTTGAAAAAGTAGAACAATTTTCTGAATTGGTAATTAATATCATAAATGGTGCCAGAGAAGACCCCATAGAAGGAACACCAATGACTTATGTAACTTTATATACTGGTATATTAGTTATGATCGCATCATTGTAATTTATTAGAATATACAAATACATAATCTTGTTTAAAATTTATAATTAATTTTTTTCTTAATTAGATTGCTGGCAAACCGATCCAGAAAAACGTCCCAATATACAAGAAGTTTCGAGTTTAATTAATTATAAAATATTACAGCAACCAGGTTTGTTCACAAATGATAAATCATATGAATTTTTTAAAAAAATTGTTGAAGAATTATGTGAATTGATTATTGAAGAAAAAATGCAAGGAAAAACGACTATGATGATACTCGATAGAGTTGAGAAATTTTTTATAAACAAACGACAAAGACCAGAGAATTTAATTGATTGGTGTTTAAATAATCAAATTAATCCTGTAGTTCAATATATTCTTGCAGCATGTTATTATTATGGGAAATGGGTTACAAAAGATGAAACTAAAGTTTTCAAATTTAGTCAAAAGTCAGTAGAAGGTGGGTTTATTGAATCTTATAATCGGCTTGGTATTTGTTATGCGGAAGGTTTAAGTACTCAAATTGATGAAAAAAAGGCTTTCGAATGTTTTCAAAAGGCAGCTGAAGGTGGTTCAGCATTAGGATTTTATAATTGCGCTTATCATTATGAAAATGGGGTGGAAACCGAAAAGGATGAAATTATGGCCTTTAAATTATATCAAAAGTCAGCTGAAGGTAGGTATATTGGTGCATATAACAATCTTGGATATTGTTACGATATAGGTAGAGGAACTGATGTTGATAAAGAGAAGGCATTTGTATATTACAAAAAAGCAGCGAAAAAAGGATTGGCTGCAGGACAATATAACCTTGCTGTTTGTTATTATAATGGCGACGGAACTAAGGTGAACAAAAGAAAGACATTCAAATTATATAAAAAATCAGCTAAGGGCGGTTATAAGTTCGCATACAAGCAGCTTGGTGAATGTTATAATTTAGGGATAGGAACTAAGGTTGACGAGGAGAAAGCATTCGAATGTTATCAAAAAGCTGCAGATAAAAATTCTGACAAAACCATGTAATATAATAAAATCCATTAATTGTTTTCTTTATGTTTATTATTACAATAAGTTTATATAGTTTAGTAACACTTCACTTAATATTAAATTTATAACATAAAATCTTATAATTAATTATACAGTAATAAAGTTTTAATAAAATATGTAATAAGATATGATTTACCACCGTAATAACGTTAATTTGGGCCGAAATTCTTAATTTCACACCTGCGCGTTATTACGCGACAGTACGGTATGTCCAGTAACCTGATTTTCCTAGCAAAAATCCCAAATGTCTAGAAGTTTAGCATTTCCGACCTAAAAATTTTTCTTATCTATTCAAGCATTTATTATATACTTATGTAAATAATTTAACCTTGTCGAATTTTCTTTCGTGAATTTCTATTGAACTAAATATCTTAATATCCGTATAATAATCTTCAATATTAACATGTAGTATTGCGAATTTCTTTGGAATTTTCTTTGCCTTTATATTTTCCTGATTATAGATATCATAGTTATCTATTATATTCGTTATAAAAACTTTTAATATATGACGAGATTGATATCTAATATGATCTACTACGTCAACTACATTTTTTTTATGGGCGATACTAGGTTGGCTACACAGATAGGAATACTCAAAATAACGCTCACTTCCACGTTATTACGCGAAAACACGGTTAACTGGATTTTATTTTTTTTAATTAATCAAATCTTTTTAAATTTTTAATAAACTTGTTTCCTGTACTACAGTTAAAATTTGTACCACATGTTTTAAATAAATACAGTACCGAATTTAAAAATCATCAATGATTCTCATTAAAAAATGTCTAATGAGATAAAGCCAAATTTATTTATAAACAGTTTAGAAAAATGTATAAACCACGAATTAATAGAGTTTTATGATTATTCTGAATTCAGTAATATTCAATTAATTGGTTCAGGAAATTTCGGAAAAGTTTATCATGCAGTTATGGAAAGTTCAGGCTTAGATGTTGCTTTAAAATCATTTGACAATAATAACGAAGTCATTGTTCAAGGAATTATTGATGAAGTAACTTAAAATATAATGCAATTATTTATAATATTTTTCGATCAATTTTATCCTTTATTATTTATGTTTTAATTTTTTAATTAAATATAGCTTAAATTACACAACAGTATTAGCACTCACAATAATATTATTAGATTTTATGGCGTTTCTACGGAAGAAGGTAAGAACCAGAAGGACACCAGGAGTATTTAGTAATTTATGTCGATAAATCTGTGTGGGTTAAATAATTTTGACAATTTTTTTCAAGTTTCATAATATTGATATTAGATGACATTTTAAAAAAAAAAACTTCATTATTCTATTAAAAATATTTAGGCAAAAACGAACTTCAATATATTTTAGTTTTTGGATATGCTGATAGTGGAACTTTAAGATCTTATTTACAAATTAATTTTTATAAACTTAATTGGATGCACAAATTAACTTTGACACAACAACTTGTTGATGCGATAAAATTTATGCATGAGAAAGACATTATACATGAAAATCTTGTAATTATCTGTTTATCTTTTTTTTTTTTTAAAAAA